AATTTCTACAGTAATAGCTAAGCTATCACTCTGAAATTACTAGAATTCACAGGAATATGTCAAATAAAACAACATTATCCTGAAGAAATAACTGAAGTTGGGTATTATTATTGCCTGCCAATTACAACTAAAACACACACACGCACATAAAATCATGCTGAGAATACATTCCAGTGCATTTTAATAGAAACAAATAAACCTGGTTGGGCTTACTATGTGACTGAAACAGAAGATACCAAATATAATGCAAGATAATCAATGACAGTAATTAATGTATTAGAAAGGGATCTAGTTCAAGGTGCTTTTTTGCTAGGAATGGTGAGTTTCTGTTAACATAATGAAATGGTGTAAGAGTGTCGCAGCTTCAGACTAGACTACTTAGAGGCACAACTAGTATTGGAGAACTGCCATGAAGCAGTACATATTCCTGCAGAGCCCATTAGGGAAAAGAAATGTAAAAGTTTCAGAAAGATTCACAAATAAGTTGTCCTGAAAAAATTAACTATTTTCTGAATTTTAAAGAAAAATTAAAAGCTAGGAGACAATATATACCTTTAACTAGTGTTTTTGTTAATAATTAAGATGCGCATATTTGTCTGTAAAGAATAGGTCAGATTTCTTTAGGAAGCCTCATAAAAAGTTTTCCTTCATAAAATGATCTCTATTTGGTATTGTAAATGCCCCTCAGACTGCACATAATTACAGCAATAATGAAAATTAGAACAAAATATTGTATTTTTCACACAACATTTACAGTATTGCAAGAAAAATTTAATAAAATACAAATTAGGATAATTACAGAAAATCAGAGTAATCACTTTTAAAATACTTCATATCTAAAAATCATTGTCATGGTTAGGTTTTAAAATAGCAAGAATAAATATGGAAAAAATAGCAGCTTTCTGCCGTTCCCATTAATACTGTTAAATGACTATTTCACAAGTGCTTGATTGCAAAATAAAGGCAGATTATATACCATGATTTTACCAGAACTGTAAGTTACAGTAGTATTGAGTTTGCTGTTTGTTAACATGTTATCATACCTAAATAGTAAAATATATCATAGTTTACCCAAAGTGTCACTATTAGCACAGACTAGAAGTTGCATATCCTTTACCTTCCCTCATAAAAAGTCTCCCTCACTTCACTGCTAAGAGATGCACCTTTCTTAAGCAGAGTGCAGAGGATTCATTTCCCAACACAGATATCAGAACATGTAAATTTTTTAATCCCTGAAAAAAACAGAACTAAAAATCTAGTAGGAGAAGTAAGTTTGACCAGAGCTTTTTGCTATTCATACTTTTTAAGAAATCCAACACTGACACAGAATTAAAGCAGCTTCTGTTTTCACTCCTACTTTTCAAAGTTCCTTACAAATTGCATGGATTCTTTTCCCTGGTTTAAATGTTTGACATTAAGATATTCAAACATTTGTACTTAACTTGAGCAGGTTTTTTGGTGTTTTGGTTTTTTTTTGGTGTTCACAGATGAAAAGGAAACTGTGGAAATGATGATGAAATAGCAGTATACCCATCTGTTCAGTAATTCAGAAAGTGAAATAATAAAAGAAATACATCATTGACATTCTTTAGCTGCAAATAAATATGACTATATACTAACAGCATAAATACACCAATATTCAGTTCCCAAGAGCTCAGTTTGCAAGGCAGTTATATTTTAAATTGCCTAATCTGGAGCATCAAATGTAATGCAAGAATACCATTAGTCTACAGTACAGTCACTGCTTAAACTTATCAAAGCTAGTTTTAACTTGTTTTAGCTGTGGTACTGTTAGGACTAGAGCTACAGTAGAAAAGAACTCATCAAGAGTTGCCACAATCTGGCTGGGAATCATCATAGAATCATAGAATGGTTTGAGTTGGAAGAGACCTTTAAAGGTCATCTAGTCCAATCCCAAAAAGGCAGGAACATCTTCAACTAGATCAGGTTGTTCAGAGCCCCTTTCAACCTGACCTTGAATGTTTCCAGGGGTGGGGCATCTACAGCCTCTCTATAGTGGGGCAAATCTTTAGGCACATAGCCCCCAAGCAAGCTCTGCATTAATTGTACTAGTAACCAAACTAGTTTAAAACAAGCTCAAGCACACAGCAAATGCCGTGCAGGCATATCCCTTATTTCCACAATGTACTCTACATTTCTTTGTCAAAAGTCTTCCACATTTAGTCATATGAACTCCTAATTACTTTTCAAAACACACTTTAGATTAACTGGCCTACAAACTGGACATAATTAGAACAAGAGTAACTGTTGGTAAGCAATGAACAATGAAACCTGACTGCACTTATCAACTCCTTACACTTAAACAGCCAGCATCCAGGCAGCATCTGACACTGCAGATATCCAAGCACAATCCAGAGAAGAACTCTTGAGAGATTTTCAGAGCTCAAAAAGCGGTCATTGGTTACTCCATTACTCCACTGCAACATCAAAAAAAGGTCAGTGGATTCCAACCTCAATGAGCTTAGAATTTCTATGTTAGCAACTGAAATCCCACTGTTGTTAATTTATACAGTCAACTTCTCAAATTTTTGTATCCCAATGAAAATTGTAGAGAGGCCTTACACTGGGGACTGGTTAGTTTTTTTATATAAAATCCTGACCAAGTTTCCACTGAAAATTCTGTTTGCAGTCATTGCATTGACTTCTGAGAGTGGAAAAACCAGGCCCCCAAGAAGTCTCGATCCAACTCTCTGAAGTCAGCAGGTGCTAGGGAAGGATACTTCACAAGCATTCAGAAAAACAAATGTTCCTTCTATAATTTTTCCATTAGCACTGAATTAGATCCCTTTGTAATGACACTTCACGAGTTAAACAAAGAACTTGAACGTTATTTCATCCAACGATTTTTACAAATAAACTTTTGGGCAATTAAACGAGATACAAATTTTAAAAATAGAAATACCAAGTCCAAGAACATTCATGTGGATGGATGTCCAAGAACTGATACAACCCCTTTCATATAAGGCTGAATTCAGCATAGCATTTCTAAGTAGATCTAAAATAAATTAAATAGGTGCTAACATAAAGTTGCTAAAGAACTATCTGCAAAAGAGTCTCATTTTCTCAGCTTTCAGTCACTGATACAGACATAAGATTTTGATCAAGCTTTTACGATACACAAAATACCCAAAACTAAAAAAGTGTCCTCTTACAGGTAATCTGGAAATTGCATGAGCTTGAATACATGCGGGCATGGCTGTCGTTCAGTGTAGTCATCTAAGAACAGAACTGACAATCCTTTTCTGTCTGCCAATTTATTAATATGATTATTCTATAGAAATAGTATTTTTAATCCTTCATAGTAACAATTCAGTGTTTTAAAACAGGCAGATCAATATATTACAAATACCACTACTGTTAGAATACATGATGTACTAAATCACAGGAGGTAGTCAGATCCCCATTAACAATTATTTCAGAAAACAAACACTATTTTTAAAAATTAGTATAACACCTCATTCATGAAAATTTACTTTTCAGAATAACTCATTCCTAGCTGCTTTAAGGGATATCCGTTTTTTAAGCATGATAAAAAATTTATGATAGAAATATGTTCTCTTTCAGTTTTCAACATAATTTTGCAATAAGCGTATAAGAAAAGTCCCAAGTGGTAAAGACTTAAGACAAACTGCAATAAAGCAGTTACTAAATTTTCAATTAATCAAATTCCAAAGATATAACGAATTTGACCACATCTTTTACCTTATTATTACATTTGAAAATTCACTGAACTAACTACGGTTTAAAATTATATCTACACCAATGAAATTAATGTGAAGCTTTTTTACACTGTTAGTAATTGGCATTTTTGAATGGCATTCAAGTGAATAAGCGTTATTCTTTTTGCAACAACTTACTGCAAAATACAGGCATCTTAAAAACAGATACATAATGCAACCAGGGCATGTGGGACATTAAAAGTGTTTACTGTTATCTAGTCATGCTATGAATTTCCCTTCTTTTAAAGAAATACTCTACAATTTGAAGCCGTGCCTGAGGTGTGTGCAAATCATAATGTTTCAGCATTTAACTTAATTTTCACATTATATTTCTTTTACAGTTACAAAAACACTACTGTGCCAAGATTTTCAACCATTACAACTGTAAAAATCTTAAGCAGACGTATTATCTTTGATAATGTGTTCTTGCTATTGCACATATGCTCATATGACAGCGAAACCCTGGTCCATATTCAATTTCAACTATTTACACATGCTAAAATCATTTATCTGCATATAACGTTGAAAAAGAAAAAATATAGCCTTTCTTGACCAATACACCTTGCTCCAAAATTTTTGCCACCAAATTTCATAGAATCATAGAATATCAGGTAGGAAGGGACCTCAAGGATCATCTGGTCCACCCTTTCTTGGCAAAAGCACGGTGCAGATAAGATGGCCCAGCACGCTGTCCAGCCAAATTTTAAAAGTGTCCAATGTTTGGAAATCTACCATTTCCTAGGCAGATTATTCCAATGGCTGATTGTTCTCATTGTGAAAAGTTTTCCTCTTGTGTTCAATCAGAATCTCCCCAGGAACAACTTGTACCCATCACCCCTCATCTTTTCCATGTGACTCCCTATAAAAAGGGAGGCTCCATCTTCTTTGTAGCCACCATTTAAATACTGGAACATGTTACTTTATGATTTTATAAAGAACAGCCTGCCATTCAGTCTTTCTGTTTATACATGGTCTGATTCAAAGACCACTGAAACAAAAAGAAGCCTTAATTTAATTCAGTAGATTTTGGACAACGCATAAAGTTCAAATAGAAAAATTATAGAAAGTGTTTATTACAGTAATTGACATAACTGCACTTTGGACGCATTAAGTTGCTCTTACTGCATCTGTTAAAATACAAAAAAATTCCTTCCAAAAAATCCTCTTCCTAAAACTTACAATGTTACAGTTCAAGTTGAGCCCTAGGTATATTTACGAAGTTTACTCTGTATTAACTTAATTAATAGTTTTCTCTTTTTGGTCATGACACAAAAGCCCACATGCACAACAATACCTACAACAGAAGCAGCATATTCTTGTCATAAGTAGTAAAGTTATCATACAGGTGCATTTCCAAAATAGTTCCTTCATATTCTTTTTTTTAAACAAAAATGGTCTTTTCTGGTTCAGTGGTATATCATAAGTACAGCATTTTCCAAGCAATGAATAGGAAATAGATTTCCAGTGAATTTTCTTTATCTTTGAGGAGTTTAGACATCGTCAAATATTTTGCTTCGAGACATTGACAGGTATCTTCCACCAGGCTGGTACCTGCAGAATTGATTTTAAATATGAAAACGTATCACAGGAAATAGAAAAATAAAGATATATGAAAGCCTGTAACTCTCACTGCGCTTGTACTCCTTAACTCTGAATGAATTACAAGATCTGAAGTTTCACTGAATTACTGTTTCCATGAGAATTGGATAGGCAGACACTAAATTAAACCTCATGCGATCACAAAAAACAGTGATATGAATACAAGGGGTCTTAAAGAACATTGTTTCCTGATACAAAGAAAAGAAGTTGAATGTTTTTGTTGAACAGGATATTTAAAAAAAAAAAACAAAACCAAAAATAAACAAATGAGCAACAGTATCCAAAAGTAGTTTGGGTGATTAACAGAATGTCTCATTAGGTATTCCTAGGAGAAATATAGCAACAAAGATAACAAAAACAAATGGCTGCATACTTAGTAGGAAAAAAGCAGCTTTGCAAACTGTTGGTCAAATATATTTTAAAAGCATTTTAAAAGCACAAATAAGTTCCAAAGAAAGCACAATGTACTTTCTCTCCGCAGTAGTTACCAAAACCTGAACAGACACAAAGCCAGAACCTACTGTCCCTAGTGTTCTTACTATCCTCGAATGTTTGTAGCTATTGCAGGAGCTGTAGTTCTAAAAATCAATGTTATACAAGATATTTTTTAATGAACTGAAATCTCATATGCAATTATTGTTGATTTGTCACCTCTATGAAATGAAATGCAGGTTACTAGATGAAAGCTCTACTAAGCTCTGTGGCTCCAGATTTTCTTTTTAAAGAAAAAGTTCAGAATGTTCCACTCTGCAAAGTCTGTATAAGTGCCAGAAGACTTCAGATACTGGACTTGAAAAGTATTTGCTCCAAAAGAATTATATATGCATATTCATATTTTTGTAGACTGTTATCCCTTTTACACTGTATAGGGGTCAACAGCTGACAGAACTGCATATATACATATGCATATTCCTATTTTTGCAGACTGTCATCCCTTTTACACTGTATAGAAGTCAACAGCTGACAGAACTGCTAGGCTAGCTCCTCTTTAAACTCTCGCACTTAACAACTTTGTTGTTGATACAAACTAACATCACTGAATTGATCTGTAAAACCCAGCAGTGTCATTTAACAGCATTCTTTGCATGTTTTTGAACTGGCATTTATTTGTTGACGCTGTAGATGTAAGTCAACTGAAAACATTCATGTTTTTTTATTGGATTGTGTATGCTGAAAAATAATGTAAACTATAACATTTTATACGGAAATTTAAAATTATTTATCATTAAATGGTTCTACATCATACCTACCCAGATTAAAAAAGCACCCATAAAATGTATTACTTGTTTCTTAAATATAAGCAAAGCTTAGCAGTTATATAAGATACTCCATTTCACAACTAAGGAAATTTGGTGTTGCAGTCACACTCACAGAACCATAGAATTCTCTATTCTAGACAGAGCTACGCTGTTCAGTTTGGGACTTTTTGTTCAGTAAATTCAGATTTTAATTTACTCCAGTAGTTCCAAGATCTAATCCCCAGGTGTATTCCTGCCACTACTGGCCCTGTAATACTCAGTTTTCTTTCTTATACCCTTTTATGATGGTTTTTATATAGGGCAATCAAGTGAGCTTTCTAGAGTCTTGTAGGAAATCATAGAAAATCTTATATTGTACATACGCAGGTCATTCACCACCTTTTTTTATATGCAGTATTTTTCAGATTATTCAAATATACAAAATTATAGTAAGCTAAAATCTTACTGAGACATTTCTAGAAAACTGAAAAACCTTCACGTTTCAATCCGTTTTAAAACAATTCCCATATTATGGGGAAAAGGGAGAAAGGAAAAGAGCTAGGTGAGATGATAAATTTTGTTTACAAAACTATTATTACGGAATGATCTGATATAGCTGTCATAGGTCAGAAGACATTAGTATCTTTTAATTGTAAATAACACAGAAGATTCCTCACCTTCCCGAGTCTGATTCAAGAGGGTCATCATTAATTGAGTCTGCATTAAAATCCAAAGGTTCTGCATCCTGGAGGAGTTCTATTCTGTCTCTTTCAGTCCTACCATTTGATCTGGTATACTTTGATAGCGCTGAAGAGGTAAAAGGAAGCAAAGACACTCATTTGCTCTATGAACACCTTGGAATGTGAGGAGACATCAAACTTAAAAGACCATAATAATAATTTGGTACTATTTCATCCAAAATGTAAGTGTGACGATTTAGAGTAGATTCAGTATTAAACCAAATCTGGCTACATGCTCAAATTTGTAGTATTTCATTTTTGTATCTCCATTGCAATATAACTACAACTTTTCTTTCGCCCTTCAAGTAGGATGAGATCTACTTTGCAAAGAATCAAAGAAAATGAGAAGTTATATGCAAACTTCACTTTTAAATCAATCAATCATCCATCCATCTTCCCAACTTCCCACTTTAAGCTAGCTGGAGGTTTTTTGGTTTGACTTTGTTTGTTTTTAAAGAGGCAATCTCAAGAATTAGTGGAATATAGCTGTTCCGCAGCTCTGCCACCTTCACTAGGCCAGTACCTATGGCTTGTTTTGGTGTTGGAATGCTACATGTTCATATGGTTAACATTAAAATATAATTTCATACAATTTCAGTTAGTCTACCACTGAAAATGTGGGTTTCCAACTTTATAAAGAGCAGGCAGAAATCTACGAGGGTTGTCTCAAAAGCACGTTCAAAGTTTCCCTCCTCATCTCCCTTTTTTCTTCTTTATTCAGTTTCGTTTCTTACTTGTTGTTAGCTTACAACAGCACATAAAATTCATAAAAACCTTAACACTGTGACAAACTAACTTTTTGGACGCTTAGAGCATCTACAAAAAAGTTTTTTGCTAACAGATGTTATTAAATGAACACATATGTACTCATGTGATATGTTACTGGCTTTACATTTGTTGGTCAATTCCCTGATTATTCCATTGTTCCTGTCTGAGGGAGTTCATTTGGTAAATTTTAAGATTTAAAACTCCCAAGTTCAAGACATATCTTAAATAAAGCCTCTTCGTTGAAAACTGCTACTCTAATTGCAACCATTGTGTGTCCCATAAGAAGACCAAGTAATTGAGACTAGCCAGAATCTCCAACCTTAGCTAGCTGAAGTGTTGAAGATGGGAAGAAACACAGCACTCTCTTCAGGTGTCTTTAATGGGCAAGATGGCGCTGTGCCACAGAAGGGAATATATTAGCACATAATCTAACACAAAAAGGAACATATTTGAAGCTACTCACAGTCGTGTTGTGCAGACAAGGTATTAAAAAAACAAAACAAAATAATCCCCCCCCTAAAGCCGCAAAGCTTACGTCTATTGCTATTGGTCTCTGAGAAGTTGGATTCTTTTTGGTCTGTGTGGACAACTCTGTTTCTAGTGGAATCATCTCTATTTCCATATCGCTCCTTCCATTCCTGGAAAAAAAAGAAAACAAGAAAAGAAGCTGTGAGAAAAAACTAACACACCAAAAGCATATGTAGAATCAAGAAATATTGCAGATCCACAATTTAGAGTTAACTGGCCAATCACATCAGACAATGAAAATAACACTTTGAAAATACTCCTGTTCAGTATCTTGAAATAAGAATAATTTTTGATTTGTTTTAAACTCAAGATACGTCCCTTCACTAAACTGGTTACCGTAACTGTTGTTCAGAAAAAGACTTGCAGAAAACAAACTACGTATTAAAGCCGCTCTCAAAGTTCACGCAACTGCTCCAAGTTATGGTGGGAATGTTGGGTTTTTTTATTTTGTACTTCCATCTAGTGGCAGAATGGAAAAATAACCAGATGCAGACAGCACTCAAAACCATTTGGACAGGTCATGTTTACTAAGCATGCTGTTCTGTTGTGTTTCCATTCCATCATGTTTTAGTATGTAAATATTTTAGTATGAAGTATAATGAAATATTAAAGAAGAAAATGTCTCCTGCTTTTATCAGGAGACAACTTCATGTTTCAGTAGAAACTTTTCCAACTGCTTCAATAACTTTAATGTTTCAGAGTCATGCCTAGGTCCCAGATTATGGACTGGTAAGAACTGGTATACTCAAAGTTACTGTGCTAATTTATGCCATATGTTACAGTTCTAAGCTGCAGAAGGATCAAACATTTAACCATGAACCAGTAAAAGGTAAGACTCTCAAAAGGCCCAGAAGTTTCCAAGAATGAATGTGCTACAGTATTTAACGCAAACTCAAAAAACAGGTAACATCTGAAATTGAGTTTGCTGTTGAACTAAAATTGTTGCTTAATGTCAGATCATTTCAGTGTATACTATATGTATCATGCATTTGCTACTATTTTATTTCACAGTAGGTTCAAGTTCTACAATTAGGAGATGAGGGGGGAGAAGATCAGAAGAAAGGTCTATACAGTATTGGCTGTCATCCAGAATTAAAGTATCCCTGAGCTTGAAAAGCCAAGAGGTTTTAGTCCCAGTATTATCTTGCCTTTCCGCTGGTAATATTTTTCCCTTCCTCTAAGTCAGTTCATTTTTTGCATGCATCCTTTCGATCTATCTCTTTGATTATGACTTTCTATGCTACATTCCAAATGTTACAAAGTAATGAAAAACTAAAGCTACAGTTAACTGAAGCTCCTTAAAATGAAGCTGTCTGAATTATTTTTTATTTGGATTGACTGCCTTCACATATTTTTCTATTCAGTATGCACTTAAAGTATGATTTGAAGCAAACATTCTGTTTGTTACTCAGTGGTAACAGTATCAATTTTGTCTTAAATATAATTCCTGCTTCTAAAAAAAAAAAAAACAAACCACCACCATCTGTGCCAATTACCTTCCAATGAGCACACAATACAATGGGTAAGTCTGGGAGGAGCATACAGCCCCCATTTCAGTGAATATGATGACACTGCAACTGCAGTTACTTTAAGCAGAGCAGTATCAACATAAAATACTGATAAGAAGACTTTTTAGGTTATTCTGCATCCTAGAAATCAGGACCCTTTTCAATGCTTGTTACACCTATTGGCATATACCATTCTCAGAGCACACTGAATAACAAAAGTGTCCAAGTAGTGTGATGAGAATCGCCCTCTTATCCTTTAAAATTAAACTGTAATTTCCACGCCCCTCCCCCAGCCAAGACTATACTGCAAGATTAAACTGATTCCATCTATTCCTGGGGACTTACTTTTTTGTGAAACAGATCATACTGAATTAAATAGCAATGGCAATTCTTATCAGATATTGTAGTATATTAAAATCATAATTAGCTTAAAAAAATCTCATACCCTTCTTCTGTTTTCACCTTCTTCCTGCCTTTGTCGTTTTCTTTTCTCTGTAAATAAAAAAAAATTGTCTGAGCTCCATACAAGAAAAATCATTACCAATATTTATTAAACAAACAATGAAACTGCAAAGTTAACTAGCAAAGATTCTTATTGAAATAGATGGTTCATACAATTAAATAAAAACAAAAGACAAAGCTGCAGGTCAATCATTATGGAGTTTCCCATTAAAATGAATTCATCATGACAGTAACTTGGGTCAAGGCATAACGTTTGGATATCAGCTGGAAAAGTAAAAAAACCTTCCTCAGAAATAGTCGGAAAAAGTATGATGTTAAGAAGGAACTTGAGCAATATTAAACGAAAATCTTGCTGGAGTTCTGTAAGGCCCAAAGTATGGCTCAAATAGTTTGTGCCCATATCTGCTATTAAGCAGGAAGTGTAAAATCACTGTATCAAAGTAATAGTAACCTCTCGTTTAAGGGAATGAGACATTCCTCTTTCTCCAAAAAAAGAAATATTACTACTCTAAGTAAATCTAGGTTTTGTTTTTCATAAACTATGAAAGAAAAACAGAAGTGTTCCATAATATAGTATTGCATCAACAGATTTTAACTTCTAAACATTTACTCAAGAACCACAACAGCTTTTAACAACTTTCAAGAAACACTTCCAATAAAAATTAACATAAAAAAAACTAAAAAGCTCTCCAAAACAGCAGATAATCACAGCCCCAGAGAACAATATGCCTTCTGTGATAAAACACAGTTAGTTGAAATAGCAAAAAATCCTAAAGGAAATGATAGAATTTGGGCAGCTCAATCAACCCAATTACACAAAGAAAAATTAAAATGAATTTGTTTATGATAAACACAATTTAAGTGCTAACTATCCTTAGTGACACAAGCACCTGTTCAGGTATTATTAGATCATTAATGACTTCAGAGGAGCACCACTTAAATGAACTGTAAAATATTTAGAAATATCAAAAATTCAGATACTAGATGAGTAGAACTGATACTTCACTTAAGCTGTCAATGAAGTCCAGCACTGTTTATACAGCAATCACAACGCTGTAAATCTATTGCATTTTGTGCAGCACACTGCCTCAGTAGTTATCAAAATATTGACAAGCTATTTGCTTTCTTTTTTTTGTGCAACATTTCAGACAAGTTTAATGCAACAACATACTATATTTTGTAGGAGGACTAGGATAGAGCACATAACTTACCTCTTCTGATTAGCTCTTTTCCTTCATCAATCAAATCAGAGGTCATTTCACTATCCCCCATGAACTGCTGGAATCCCAAAAGATTCAAACAACGAGTTCCTAAACTGGTAAAAGCAGAAGCAGCAATTTCCTTTGTTAATTTACAATCAATAGTTTAGATATATTACAATGCAAAATGTAAAACAAATTATCCAGAAATTTATGGACAATTCAAGTAAAGAAACAATACAGAAGAAGAGACAGATTATTGTACTAGCTGAGAAATCAGAAAATTCAGAACAGTGACACATTCCTAAATCCAATTGAAAGTGATGGAACAATCCTATTCAAATAGAGAGATAAAAATGTTTATTGTTTGAAAGTAGAGCAAATGTTTTAAAATAGGAGAATTTCTTGAAACATTCTCAGATATAACAGAATGTATACCTATGATATCTCATTGACTCTTCTTTGCCAGAAGACAATTACTATAAAAATTCTGCCTATTATGATTTCTGTGTTTCTAAAACAGTAATAGCATAGGAAAGTCACCTTCATCTCATGTTTCACTCAGGAGAAATGTGTGGCATACTCTTAAGTTGTAGGGATGCTGGCTGCCATTTTGATTACCCATTAGGCAGCAATCAGACATAAGCTTGTTCTATCTTTTTTAGGCTAGTCCTGGAATTAGACAGCATGAAGCCACTTTCACCTGATCAACTTCACACCAGAGAACACAACTGCTGGAGAATCAATATCATGTTCAAAGCTGCCTTCATTGTATATTTATGCTGAAAAGTTTTTTTTCTATACTATCTAACTACAAGACCATTGGATTAAACAAGGAAGACAGCTTTCCTTGATAGATTTAAATTACACATTCAGTTTTGCATGTATTTGCATTATTAGAAGGCATTAAAGTTCATGCAAAGCAACCTCCTCTCCTTTAGTTTCTTTTCTTCCTTTTCACTATGGCGTTCAAGACCCAGGATCATCACGGACAAAAAGTCACACAAACTATTTTCTTGTTATCGGCTTTCCTGTTTGGTTGATTGGGTTTTTTTTGCCTCCATCACCACTTCTGTCACATAACCTAAAGGTCAGCTGCAAAAACCTAGGACTAGATCTTTGTTGTCTTACTATCTATGGATGTGCATAGAGTATTAATGGACATTCAAGGCATTTAACCACATTCTACATGACTCAACATACACATTGCTTCTGACTGAACAGTAATGCAAAAATGAAGAAGTGAACATAAATGTAGCCAAGCAAGGTCAGACTGAAAGTATCTCACCCCTTACAGCAGTGAAAAGCAGACATTTTGAAATGTAAGGAAAAAGCAAGCATGTAACAGTATTTTCTGCAATTACCCTTCTAGCCTCCAACATATTGTGGTTTACGGAAAAAAGATCCAATGATTTAAAGCACTATGCTTTCAAACTGAAGTCTGGTAACAGATCACAAATTTTTTTACAAGTCTGTTAGAAAGTTCATTATTTAAAGTTTCTGCTAGTGCTTCTTAGTTTATTAGAAAACCTTGTTGCAAACACAGCTTCCTCATGGGAATTTTAATCTCGAAAGCAGAATCTAAATGTTCATGAGCTTCAAGGTTTGAACAGACCAGACCTCAAAATCTAGGAATGAAGTTTAATGAGGAAAAAAACCCCCACAACTCAGTTATGAGTTAATACAAATGGTATTCTTAAAATGCACACATTTCATATATATAAGTTAACAATTTATTGGTTTAGTTTTTGCATTTTTATTAATATGTCACAACTCAACTGCTGGAAAAGGAGAAGTGAATCTCTTCCTGATTGCTGAAACTAATATTATTAATGTAAAGAAACAGAGAGGATCTGTCTTGCAAATCACTTACCTAAAGTATGTAGCAATACAGAGAATGACAACAAGCATTGGGTAATATATATAGAATCCATCTGCAATGAAGGACAGCACTCTCATGGATCCCATTATCTGGAAAAAAAATACACAAGAAAAAGCTCTAATCAGATATATTCTATATATATCCATAAAGATTGTGCCATCTCACTGTTTTCTGTCCACAACACCCAAATACACAATCCTTTACAGTTACTGAAACATAGCTAAGTATTATTATCACAGATCTGACTCAGACAGTTGACCCAGAATAACCAGATATAAAGGCCGCCTCTAACAGTGTATCCACTTTGAGGTTTCTAAGATGCTAGATCTTCTTGTCTCACCTAATCCAGAACCAGTTCAAATCTGGTGGATCTTTTAACCTGCTGTGAATGGAGTCTCTGGACAACACTAAGAATCTCCTTGCTAACAACAAAGACATGAGATGTAACTGGCTGTCCTACAGAAACTGGTTGTTCAGCAAAACCAAACTCACTAGTTTTCAGTGGCAAGTTAGGTTTGCTCCCAATCTATAAAGATGTTCCACACACTAAAGCCAGTGGAAGCTAAAGCTATTAGGAGGTAAAGAACAACAAAATAATTCACTTTCTTAGGATAAAGAGACCAAAACAGAAATATTGAGGTATTGATGACTCCCAACGATTGTGGGTATTTCTCAAGCCAGCTTGACAGCATCATTGAGTGAAGGCCGACCCTGGGAGAAGGACACAGTTATGCTCGTTGGCAGAAAGCCATGGGAGTAAGAAGTGAAGCTTTAAGATATGGAACCTAGTTAGCAGAACACAGTGATCTGTTTCAGCAGCTATTTGCAAAAAAGTTTAGTCTTTGGCCTTGTAGATTACAAGAAAGTTGTTAAAGTTGCTATGTCTGTAATAGTTAAAAAAAAAAAAAAATAGTGAAAAAATGCTGTAATGGAAAATTACTGAAGCTCAGTTACAAGCTGACACATCAGCCCGCTGTAGAGGTACAAAAAGTTTGCTTGATTGTAATAAGGAGTCTTCGATCCACGTTCGGAGTCCATGCATCAATATGCCACAAATGGTGCCCAACATGGGGCTCGAACAGGGGCCTGGGCCTGGAAATGACTAGCTGTCGATTCGGTGGTGTAGCTCAGTCAAACTATGGGATTAAACGCTGAAAGGAAGCATTATGCTGAAAGGAAGCGTATACAGTGCGCTCAATTACCTATCGCACGAAGAAGGTAAGCGGCTGAGAACAATGGGAACTGCTTTAACAAAGGAACAAAAAGATGTTCTGCAAGTTTTTACTAATACTCTTAAAAAAAGTATGGGAAGAAAATAGATGAGTAAGAATTGAAACATGTTCTTCTATGGGCATCAAAAGCTGACCCATCTGTTAATACTATTAACATTTATATCCCGGAGGTTTGGGACAAAATAGGTGTCCATCTACGGGACTGTGCTACAAAAAATTATAAAGTAGCCGCCACTTTGTTGAGCCCTTGACGAATAATTTTTGAAACTTTAAAAGCTCATGCTGGCTCACAAGTGCAGGAAGCAGAAGCAGCACCCTTGGCTCCTTTGCCACCACCCCCTTTGGCAGACCCTGCAGTAAGACCAAAAACTAAACCTGCTGCTACTGTTCTTGTGGCTTTGCCATCTGATAATTCCAACGATGACCCAGATGACCCTTTTTGACCCAGGGCTTATTAATCCAGAAAAGGAGCCAGATTTATATCCTCTGAATCCTCAAAATAAATGGGCAGCTGTAAAGAGAAACGCAAGGCAAGTGGGGGATGCAGATATACTGCATGCATTCCCTGTGATGTATGTGGCTGATCAGGATTCATGATGGGAAGGTCTCTCGTATGCTCTTATCAAAGATATCAGGCGAACAGTGACGGACCATGGACTTGGGGCTTCATATACAACTCCTTTGATATAGTCTCTCTGTGATACTCATGTGTTTACCCCAAATGATTTTAAAATGTTGTTTCACTTGATAATGACGGACATGCAACACACTATGTGGGAGTCAAAAATGAGGCAGCTTGTGGGCATCCAAGCTACTGAAAACTCAGCGTTGGGGGCGCGCGATCCACTGTGAGCAGTCACTGCTGATGTGTTATTGGCACAAGGTGATTATAGCACCAACGCTGCATAAGCGCGGATTTGCCAGGCAGGTTTGCGGCAAGTTAAACAACTGGCACTCCATGCTTTGAGAACTGTCCCTGAAGCCGGTAAACAAAGGCAGCCTTTAATCAATCAAAATTTGACCAGGAAACCCCAAGTGGAGTGCAGTGAGGGGTCGCACTATGACAACAAATCACCCCTCTGAATGGCTCCCTCATGGAGCTGACACAGTCTGTGCACCAGCGCAAGCGGCAGCACCGGACGCTGTGCCAACAATTTATAGCGGCAATTTTAAGCCCAATACGAAAGTATTTTGAAAATGTTTTAATTTACCATTATATGGATGACATCTTAATCACTGCGGAATCAAAACAAACAGCCCAAGAAGTGAAACGGCAAGCAGTCCAAGCAGTTTCATCAGGAGGACTCAGAATTGCAGAAGAAAAAATACATGAAACTCCACCTTGGCAATATTTAGGATGGAAGACATCATAACAGAACATACAGCTTCAACGTATCACTTTGCAAACGAAAATAAAGACTCTGCATGATTTGCAAAAACTGCTAGGAACCATAAACTGGGTCTGTCCTCTCTTAGGAATATCTACTGAAGAACTCCATCCTCTTTTTAAATTATTGAAAGGAGACCCAGATTTGACATCTCCTCAGACACTTACCCCCTCTGCAAAAATCGCCCTTCATAGAGTGATTGTAAAATTAGCAGGTCAAGTCACCCATCGATGAAAAATGGACCACCCTGTCAGCCTTTTTATTTTTTATTCAACTTTTCAACCCTATGGCCTTTTAGCACAGTGGATTCCACAAGATGTATATCCATTGATTATCCTGGAATGGATATATTTACCACATAATTTTTAAAAAACAGTTACCACAGCTATTGAAATGATAGCTATGGTTATCCAGAAAGGAAGGGAGCGTTTATTAACGTTAGATGGTATTGAACCTGACATTATCTATTTGCCTTCTGATACAAAACAGTTAACCTTTTTAACTCATCAGTCTTTTGTCTTACAGTGCGCTCTAGGGGATTTTACAGGAGAGTTATGTATTCATTTCCCCAGACACAAAATTATACAATCCCTGCACTCTTTTTCCCTTTTACCTACTTCACAATTAGCTATTACACCAATAACTGATGCCCTCACAGTACTTGCTGATGGGTCTGGCAAAACAGGCTGAGCAGTAATAGTTTGGAGAGATAGTGATGGAAATTGGAAAAATTACATATTGTAACAGGATCACCTCAGGTAGTAGAACTCTCCGCAGTAGTCTGTGTTTTCAAACTATGGACTACCCCAATAAACATTATCACAGATTCTGCCTATGTGGCAGGCCTTTGTTCTAGGCTAAAGGAGCATTCCTTTTTGAAGGAAGTCTCTAACGAAATTTTATTTGCTCTTCTCTTAAGTGGCTTAAGTGGCTCCTGGATCAACGGGCACACCCATATTTTATACAACATGTACGCTCGCACACCTCCCTACCTGGACCCATAAGTGAGGGAAACACACAAGCTGATAAGCTTGCAGGTGTCACGGTTTTACCTGACCATTTTGCACAGGCTTGTTCATCCCATGAATTTTATCATCAAAACACAAAAGCTCTGCAACGCACGTTTCAACTGACTCAAGACCAGGCCAGGCAAATTATACAATTGTGTCCCGATTGTCATCAAATTTTGCTGGCACCGACAATCAGAACTAATCCTCGAGGTCTTTTGTCACTTGAAATTTGGCAGGCAGATGTTACTCATATGCCAGAGTTTGGCAATTACAAATATGTACATGTTTCTATCGATACCTTTTCATCTTGTATTTATGCATCAGTACATTCAGGAGAAAAAGTAAAATATGTTTGTCGACATTTCATTATGGCCTTTGCCACCCTGGGAGTTCCAAAAACTATAAAAACAGACAATGGCCCAGGTTACATAGCACGTAAGACACAGACATTTTTTCAACAATGGGGAATTCAACATATCACAGGCGTTCCACATTCTCCCACGGGCCAAGGCACTATTGAACGCATGAATAGCATTCTTAAAACTATGTTACAAAAACAAAAAAGGGGAAGTTTGGGGTTAACCCCACAAGAACGTACAGCTAAAGCCTGTTACGTTTTGAATTTCTTAAACTGTTGGACGGAGGATGGACGTCCTATACAACACCATTTCAGCTCATATAATACTTTTAAATCTAATGAGAAAGCCCAAGTTATGGTAAAAAATTTACAAATAAATCAATGGGAAGGACCTTTTCCATTAATAACCTGGGGTAGAGGGTATGCCTGTGTTTCCACAGGTTCTGGACCAAGATAGGTACCTGGTCAATGGATCAAGCCATCATTATCTCAGTCATCGCCATCGTCTGTGCCATGACGTCAGCTGCATCAATATGGATCCCACCTCAACCCAAAACCAACATCTGGGTAACCTTGGCCAATAGCACGGGACAGGACACATTATGTCTATCAACTGCTTCTCCGGAAAACTCCTTTACAACCTGTCTGGTCAGACAACCTGTTGATGATTGGCCCGTTCCCCCAGAACAACAGAGCATAATTAAGGGGTTTGGTAATGTGGTTAACGATTGGGATGGTTGGGTTCCATACTTAGCCTATGGTGAACTTGAACCGCAGGAACTGGATTTGTTAGGATCTGTAAAAACGGATTATTGTTTGTACTTCAACTACACAGGCAGAGATGGTACAAAAATAATTCAATGGCTAAATGCTACAATACCTGTATATAGAAATGCTAGTGCCTGGTGTAATTATACTTCTCCTAACATATCGAGATCTAGCAATCGTCCACTTAAACTGCCTGCAGGATTATTTTTAATCTGCGGAGATCGCGCATGGCCTGGCATTCCCTCCCATGCAAAAGGAGGGCCATGTAGCATTGGAAGGTTAACTTTGTTAACACCCAATACATCCACGATTACAGCTCACAAATTAAGCCGCCACAAACGCACTACACACACCTTTACAACTGATTGTAAGGACAATGTAGAGTTTTGGAGCTCTAGCAAAATCATAGCAGCATCTGTATTGGCTCCAGGAGTATGAACAGTGCAAGCACTTACTATCTTAAACAAACTTGGCTGCTGGCTTGCAAAACAAACTAATGCAACTTCACTGGTCCTAAGCGGACTACTGCTAGACATTGATTCAATAAGGCATGATACACTGCAGAATAGAGCCGCAATGGATTTTTTATTGTTAGCGTAAGGTCGTGGTTGTCAGGATTATGATGGACTTTGTTGTATGAATCTGTCCGATCATTCTGAGTCTATTCACAAAAGTGTCGAAAACTTACAAGAAGGACTACAGAAATTACAACAAAGTCATGGTTTGACATTTTCAGAAATCTTTTTGGTGGATTAGGCTTAACCGCATGGATAAAAAGCTTATTACAAATAGGTGTAGGACGCTTATTCATTTTTGTATGTATTCTGCTCTGCATTCCCTGTGTGTTAAAATGTGT